GCCTGGCGGAGCCCACCGAGGGGTTGCTGGCAAGACCCCGAGGCTAGTGTTGAGCCCTGAGGTCGGAGCAGGAGAAAGGGCCTCACCTCTCCAGAGCTTCTGCCCCATACTCGCCAACATGGCCGCCGACCTTATCCCAGGCGGCCTTGACGTTGCTCTTGTCGGTAGAAGAGAGCACCATGGTGGGTTCTTTCTGAGTCTGTGTAAGGACCAGAAGAGTGGTGCGCGGGGCGTGCATGGAACTTTTATGCCCGAGGCTCAAGGGGCACGCCCATCCAGGCCTCTCTCATTGGCTGGTGCAGTTCCAGAAGGTGCAGGGAAGGGTTTGTGACCAGAATAGTTGGGGCAGGCTTTTCTTCCAAGGCAGCCCTCACTCTATGGGTCTTGCGCAGGCCAAGATCCAGCTCTTAGGGTACCCTCTACTGCAGCTCCTGCGGTTCCCAGGTGCCCACACGTTTCTGAGCCACCCAAATCCACCGCATACCCTCTGTGCCTGGGCCAAGGGAAGCTTTGAGGTGTCTGTTTGCTGGTCCGGGAGCAGGGCACAATTTTTCCTGAAATGAAACACGCTGCTTTCGCACAAGATTTTACCCATGACCGAAAGCTGTCAATTGTCCATGTAAACTGCACTTGAAGGATAATATGGGGTAAATCCTCCAACCCGTGATGGGCAGGCCTCCTGGTAGATCGTGGGGAGCTTGCTTAGCCAAGGTCAGGGCTAGTCTCCAGCATGCCCCTCAGACTTAGGTGCCCACTATCCTGATGGGTTTCGTACTCTCCCTGCACAGATTTGGAACTGTCAGCCCAGGAGCTGTTCTCATTCTGTGTCTGGAGAGCATCAGGGGCTGCTCCCAGCCTCCCATCCCGTTGTCTGCAAAGATTTGGAGTGGAGCGCTAAGGTTCTTGCCTCAAGCAGCAGAGGGGAGAAACTCAGGGGTGTGGGGAGAGCCTGAGGGATGGTGTGGGAAGAAAGCCTTTGCCAGAAAACCCACAGAGACTGAGACAGGGAGACTGGGGCTGGGGTGTGGAGTGGAGGTTGGGTGGACATGGTCCTACCAGACACTTACCCTTTATTATGATCTCGAATTATTTCAAAGCCCAACGAGGCTGTGTTTTTTTCCCCCCATGCATGCGTTAGGCTCATATCACACAGCTTGGTGATGTGAATGGAGTTGGAAACCTACTCAGTCTACTAGACTGTGGCTATTTAGGAGTTCCTCTGTACCCCCATCTCCCATCCCAGGAGATTCAGCAGAAGGGGCTAACTTGGCTCAGGGGAGGGTTTGCTGTGGACTGAATGTGGTGGTGGTGGGGAATGTGAGAGGAAGGAACAGAGATAAGAGTCCAAGGAGCCCTGGACCCTGAATTTTTGTTCGATTTCAGTCTAGGAAGTTGGCCCCTGGGCCTGGGTGCCTACGGCTTTCTGCAAAGGATGTTGAGATTCACGTCTCAGCTCCCAGTGCCAGGTGGGGATGGAGGGAGAATGAATGAATGAATGGAGTGAATGCTGACGTGCTTTGCCAACGGTATGGCACCGCTTGGTGCTGCTGGTGGGAGCCCAAGTCTTAGACGCCCAAGTCTTATCCAAGCACCCACTCTGCGCCACCACGTTCCCCCACCACAAGAGGGCAACTATGCTGCTCTAGCCTTTGTGTCCACATCCTGCCCAGGCCCCGGATTGTCAGCCCAGGAATCGTTCTCTTCGCAAGTCTGGAGAGTTCTCAGAGTCCGCTCCCCTCACATTTCCTTGTCGGCAAAGATTCCAGGAGGCTCCCTGTGGGACCCGGAGCTTCTCTGCCCAGCAACAATGACGTCAGCCTAAAGACCCAAAGACCACACACACTCAAGGGCTCGCCGTTTGAGGCCTGTTTATTGACATGCACAGACCTAGGCCCCCCCGCTCAGCGGTACTTCTCGGTCAGTACTATGGCCACGCCGGTCAGGAACTTATCCCACGCCGCCTGCATCTCCACCGTGAACTCGTCCTGCAGGTGGGAGGCTAGCACCACCTGGAAACACTGGATCAGCAGCTGCGGGAGAAGGGGCGGGTGAAAGGGTGGTTGGTTGCCTCCTCCAGTTTCTCCCAGAATCCCTAACCCTCCAACCCCCAGCTGTGCGCGCGACCCCTCCTGTGGCCGGGGCTGCCTCACTGGGAAGTTGGTAGGGTCCACTCGTAGCACGTGCGCATGCAGGTCGGCAAGCGGGCTCAGGGCCGCGCGCAGGTTGTCCATGTGCTGCACAGCCACTCCCACCGCCTCCAACATGCGTTGTCCGTGGCTCAGCAGGTGCACCTCGTCAGGGCAGGCGCCCAGGTGTTTGAAGTAGAGCGTGGTGCTGGGGTACACGGTGAAAAGCCTGTGGGAGCAGGTCAGTGGGGAGGGTGGGCGTGTGGGGATCCCTCTGGCACCTGTACCTCCCAGACACCTGAAAACCGTCGTGTGGCCTGCCCCATCGGGACTCAGGCCACAACCCCCTGTCTCCGCCTCCCTAGGGTCCTGGAGACCCCGCCCTACCCACCTGAGCAACAGCTCCGCCCCGAAGGGCGCCTCGTGTCCGGCGATCAGGTCCCAGACTTGCTCGATGTGGGCGCGCTCCTGAGCGTTGAGCATCGCGCTGGCGTGGCGTGCTCTGGGGGCCGCGCCCGCCGCCTGGGCCTCCTTATAGCTGCACCCCACCTCGGGCACCCCGCCCGATCTTATCTGCAGCAGCGCGAAGGGAACGCAGAGACCCTCGTCCTGCATGGGCAAACGTCGCCAGCCCAGGTCCCTACCACCGCGGAGGCCACGGTTTCCGGGGTCCTTGGGTTACTGACACAGATTCATGCCTCTGCGCGTGGGTGAATTTGCCGCAGACTTTGGGGGATCTGTAATGACTGGAGGGATAGGAAGAGCGCGCGCGCGCAGGAAGCTCTCTATTCCCCAAGGGGCCGGGAGGGCAGCCGCATCAGGGGTCCCCCCATAGCCGGAGCTATGACATCAGGCTTTAAAGAAAAGACCCCTGAGTCCCTACCCGCACCTAACATGCTGAGTGAAGCGACGAACTTTGGGTGACTTGGAAAGAGGGTGGGAGGAGCGAACGCACTCAGAGAAAACGGCGTGGGCGGACCTGGGGCTGCTCTGCTTCCTCTGGGCTGAGATTCTGGGATTCGCAGGAGCAAGGACCCTCCAAACGCTTTTGGAGTGGCCTTCAGGCCTGGGGTGATAACCGGGTCTCCCCCATTCTATCCCATATTTTATCCCCTCCGTCTCCCAATACTGAGGACGCAGGACCCAGCTTACTCCATCCTTATCTATTTATTGGGGAGTACCGGGATGAACTGTGGGAGAATTCGGAAGTAGAAGAGAGGTCGCGGCCTGTCCTCCGGGGTCCGGTGACTGCCCTCGGCGGTACTTCTCGGTCAGGACGTTGGATATGATGGACAGGAACTTGTCCCAGGCGGCGTGGGCGTCGGCCTTGAAGTCGGCGGGGAAGTGCAAGGCCACCGTGACCAGCAGACAATAGGACAGGAGCTGAGGGGTGGGAGGGCGACTCAGCGCGGGGCTCGGTGCTCCCTGGGTGGGGGTAAAGACTCTGCCCCTCTTGCACCCAGCCCCGCCTCGGTCCTGACCCGGCAGGGGCCCCGCCCCCGCGCCCACCTTGAAGTTGACGGGGTCCACGCGTACGACGTAGGCGTGCAGCTCGCTCAGCTTGAACAGGGCGCCGGCGATGTTGTCGATGCTCTTGACCGCGTCGCCCACGGCGGCCACCACCTTGGAACCGTGCAGGCGCAGCTGCGCCGAACCCGGGTGCAGGTCGAAGTGCGGGAAGTAGGTCTTGGTTTGTGGGTAGCTGGTGAAGAGCCTGCGGGAGAGGTGGTGGGGAGTGAGCTCCGGAGGAGGTAGGCCTGCCCACCTCCCCAACATCCCTCCCGCCCTTCTGGAGTTCGATCTTGCCATAGAGCCCTTGCAAGCTGAGCAGGTCTTCCTTCCCTCCAGACCCCTCC